TATTTGATAAAAGACAAATCGCTGCAAATTTCACTTAGAGTTTGCAATAAATCTTCACATTCTATGTCAATTATATCAGATTCTGGTATTGCATCATCTTCTTCTACGTAGCTGTTCCTGTATTTGCTTCAATAAACTTCATAATTGAATAATTTAATTGAATTTTTATATGAAATTAAAAAATATTAATAAATTAATATTATTGTGAATTCTTCTCATATGTTTACGAAAGCTGGAAATATATAAAAACTCCTGTTTACAATCCAAACATATCCATGATATGTACTTTCCATATTGCGTTTATGTTATTGTATTAAATTTTCAAAGTATAATTTGATTTCAAAAAAATTTTTCAGGCACTTAAAGCAATTTATCATTTAACTAAGAAAACTTAAATTGGTAAGTGAGTTAATTTATAGAACAATAGATTTTTTTGTAATAACCGATATATGAAATTATTCAAGTCTCTTCAAGAAATTTCTAAGAATTGTGCATATAACTTACGAAAATAATATATCTGCAGTCTTGTTTCGCAATGAATTCTTTTCTTTGATTATTCACAATTAATATTTTATGTTTATTAATCAAATAATTATTAAGTTTTCTTCTAAATATTCTAATTTTTTTTAATTTTAATTGGCGTGTTCTTTTTTAATTTTACCTTTTTTTATATGTACATAAATATTTAAAAAAAAAAATCTTCCGCACAAAAATTTAACTACTTCTTCACTACAAATTAAAACTTGTTTTAACTTGAAAAATATTGCACACATTGAATAAACTTGAAAAATAGCGGTACTTTAATTTTGACAAAAACTTTAAAGGAATACTTTGTAAATTTAACAAAAAAATTTGCTTAAAATTTCGTAGCAGAGGAATATTCCGTAAATTTGGACAAAAGTATTCCTTTGAAAAATTGTATTGACGAAATCGTTTCCGTTAAATAAACGAAAATACTTACGCTTCAAAGGAATTAGTTATTTAATTGTGATTATTTCTTATAATATCGGCGCCACAAATATTAAAATCTCTTTTTAGTTTCTAATACGTAACCTTTCTTATTAATATGATACTTATCAACAAAATTTTTAATTAAATAGAAAATTACATCTAACAAAAAAAAGTTAATTATTATTTTAATAACTTTAAAAGTTTTAACAGAACTGCTTAATAATATTTTTTTACAAATGAAATATTACAATTTATATACATATTTAAAATGTACACATTTACGTGCGGTAATTTAATCATATCGTCAACTAAAACAAATGTCAATAAATAATAAGAATTCGCCACATTATAAAATACTTTTGCAAGGGTTTTTCTATTGTATTCTTTTGAGATTCTTTTACTAAAAAGTGATACCTTTTAGTTATGAGTTCTGATTTTGAAACAATATGAATATAGAAAACATGTAAATTTTAACATGAGGGAAAACATAACTTAAACTGTCGCAAATATTGCTAGTAAATCGTACATGTACAAATTTTCAACACATTATTCTCATACAAAAGATTTGTAAAATATTACTGCAATTTAAAATCTTGTTTCGAAATTGATTTTAACAGAAAGGCTAAGCAGCTCTAAAAATTATTGTTCTAGAACAAGACTTTTAACACTAATTATATTTATAATAGAATAATGTTTATTTTAACAGTATTGAATAAATAAATTTGAAAATGCTCATTCGTGAAGAAGTAACATTAAGTTACACGTTTCGCCAGTGTATATGAAACTAAAAAATTAAAAAATTCATAAATATCGCGTGATTTGAGAAACCGTTATCTTTTAAAAGATTTTTTTTGTTATTTTGACTGGAAATTTTGTTGTCTTATTGAAACTTTTCCATTTCTAGGATTTTAAAGGAAAAAGTTTCGTTACCATTAGCGAATATGTCCTTTACATAAAAATAAGTCCGTAAAATTAATAACCGGTTTTTACTTCAAACGACATTTTAAATAATATTTTCTTTATGAACTACAAAATATTTTTTTACTGAACTTCCTAAAAAATTTGGAACCGCTATTCTTCAGATTCCTGAAAAAACCGACTTATAGATTCTTGAAAAAAATGGTTTACGAATAAAATGTGAATTTGGATATGAAATCACGTTTTTTTTTAATTTGTACAAAATTTAACTAATGCCCGAGTTATATAACATGTACGTACATAAGAACATTTAATTTAAAAAACATCCATGTTAATATCGCCTAATTTATCAGTGAAGAGACATCAGTGAACCAGTCAATACGCTTTTTAAATTTATTGATAATCCATCTGACATATATGTCTGATATGATAAAAAAACAAAATTAACAATTAAAATCAAAAATTAGCACTTTGTGGCTAAACAAAAATTTTTGCCTGAATTCTAAATAAATCTACATATGTATGTATGAAAAAGCTGTATAATATTGTTCTCAGATCTTTTCATAAACATTCAATATCTAAATGAATGTGAAAATTTGAATTTTTGTAAAAATTTTTCTTTTCGAAATAAATTTGGAACGGGATAGAAAATCTAAAATGTAAAAAACTTGAAAATATTTTTACGTCATTAGAAAATTGGAGTCGTTTAAGTTCTTGATACAATTTGAAAAACTTTAGTTCTTGTTTATTTAAGAAATTTCAATTAGTGAAAAATAATCATTCACAAGCTTATTTAATTAAGTCATTATGCAAATATAATATGAATAATATGTTAAATGAAATAAAATATTAATAAGAGTTCAATTTAACAAAAAGATGCAACAAAAAAACATTTCAACATATTTAACAGCTTTAACTTTGTTATTTACCTTTAACTTTTTAAAGGATTTCTTCTATTGATTTAGTTGTATTAAATGAAAACAACAGTCAAAAAATACATTTTATAGTTTTTGATTGATTTATACTTTTCAACGGACGCATTTAAAGGACTACAATTTTTTGTCGTTTCGCTCTCAGTTACGGCGTTAAGGAAAAATTTCCATTGTTTTCACCAAATTCAACTAAATATTTTTAATGGAACGATTTTTCTTAGGAAAATCAACGGATTATATTTTAACTGGCAGCGTTTCTTCAAAAATTACATACTTTTTATTTTGAGTGTAGAATTCAAGGGTTAATCGCGTGAGTTGAGTTAAATTATTATATTTTTTGATGACATGACATTTACCATTAGCTTTTTGCCTGAAGCTCTACTTGTGAAATTTAGTGTCATCAAATAATCTTCACCTTTGTACGCCAAACGGATGGAATAGAAGTACAATATTGTACTGATTTAATTTGTACTTCAGTAATGTTAAAAGTCAATAATGATAATAATGGCTAATTAAAATTTGGTCAAGTTTGGTATAGCTAATGCCTCCTAAACTCTACCACTATATATTAAAGTTGCCATAAAACATAAATTAAATTAGGTCCTTCATGAATTTGTTTGATTTTATTTAAATTTATTAGCCATCTACTTTTTCTCAAGCAAAAATTCAAATTCCAGTCTCTCTCTCCCTTTTTAGAGCCAGTATATTTTCCAAGTCAAGATGCAGCTAAAGTTTGTCTTAATTGGCAATTAAAAACTTTTCCCGAAAACAATACTCGTAACACTATCTATTAATTGAATTTTTAAAATACGAATTGATCAAAAAATAATTATTACGGACACAAACCAATATACCACTTTAATATTTATCTAGGTTAAATTTACATAATAATTACGATAACCAAAATTAATATAAATTTATTTAGAACAAATAAAACTCAAACTCAACTATTTTTCACATCAGGTCATCCAGTTTATCGTAAAAAATTTTAAAATGCTATCATAAACCCAAACCAATTTATTCCGATGGATTTTGCTTATTTTAAAATTTTGTCAATGACTTCAAAAATTCATTTCAAAAATATATTTCAAAAATTTTAAATTAAATGGTCTTTAGGGATAAATTTCTTACAATTATAGAATATTAATACTTGTACAAATTTATGGGTCTGCTCTTTTAATATAAAAATAGCAAATAATATTTTATTTTATCGCAATTAATTTACCAAAATTGTGAATATTTTTGGGACAACAAAATCGTAACTACATTTTTCATCTGATGGCAAATATTTAAACTACCCATAGTTAAATTATTATTGTTTTTGTTATATTTTTTTCGGTTTAAGTATTGCGACATCTGTTTGATAAATTTTTCAACATTAAGTATATAAAAATACAACTAATAATTTCTAGATGTCTCTAGTATTAATTAAAAAAACGCAAAAAATAATTTTCTAAATAAAATTAAGAGGAAAATAAAAATAAATATGGAACGAGAGTTATTTGAAACACAAATCTTTAAAATCATCCACGTAAGTTCAAAAGAAAGTGGATACAATACACCGTTATTAAATTATTTTAAATTTTATTTTTCCTTAAAAAAAATTAATATCTAGCTTATCTCTCTCCGAGAAAGCTAAATCATAATGCTCAAATTAGACAACGGTATTGCCTTACAGAGAGTTGTTTTACTCTAACTTCTTCTACAGTATAATGGATAAATGATAAATAAATAAATTTTTCGTTAAAATTTAATTAAGACAATAAAATTAAAATTATTTTACTTATATAAATAATACTTATGAATACTTATGAATAAATTTAAGATTTAAGACTGTATGCTTCCTAAATTAATTTGTAAGAATTAATTTTAAAAAATATATAAATATATATAAATTAGTTTAATTTTTAGTATTATTTTAATAATAATATTTAAAATTTACATATCAAAATGCTATATATGAAAAATTAGTATTAAGTGCATTTATGTACAAACATATAAATATGTATATTTATATAGATCAATTGCAAAATGAAATCTCTTTTTCTTTTTCAATAAAATAGTTTGATTTAATATTTAATAAAATTAAAATTCATTTTATAAAATAATCAATAATTTATGCAACATTAAAAATTTCATTAATGATAAAAGAATTTTGTACACAATTTCATTAATATTCATTCAAAAAACAACAATAAATCAATTCGAATATTTTATATGACCATAATAAGTTGGAGCTATTAAAGATGAAATTGGACTATCAACACGACTCTGATGCAATGGTGATGATGTCATTGAAGTTAATGAAGGTTTCCGTTCTAAAACAGCACTTCCCATTGTAATTGGAATTGAGGGTAATGTTCCCATCTGTGGTAACGATATTGTTCGTAAACCTAAAATTATATTTTTAATTAATAAAATTCTTTAATTAATTAAATACAAGAGAAAGTAAGTAATTGAAAGCAAATAATTGTAATAATGTTATATGGTAATGGGACCTGGTTTATACAAAAAAGAATTATTTACGAATAACAAACACAGAACTCTCGGACATTAATATAGCCAATAACAGAAGAAGTCATCATCAAAAGAAACAAATGGAAGTGGATTAGGCATACATTTCGAATGTTGCCATCCGCAATAGTAAGGAGTGTGAATCACGGTTAACATGCAAAAGGTCAGTCAAAGCGGGATTTGTACCAACTGGGAAACGTGAGCAGAAATAAAAACATTGGTACAAAATAGAGTTCAATGGAGAGATTTTGTAGAAGCTTTATGCTATCAAAGGGTGAAGCAGATAAAACAAATTTCAAATTGGTAACTTTTCAATATAATTACTAATTTTTCAAAATTGAAACACTTAAATTCCCTTATTTCTTCTTCAATATTAATTTCACATACTTAATAACAAATAATAATTTCAGCAATAAAATTTTTATAAAATTAATTTTTTTTGTAAGAGTTCTGTCAATTTTGTTAATTTCAATTTGAAAAAGGAAATATTATATATTTCAAGTGTATGCAAGCAAGCACATCTCATAAGTATATTTAAACTACTCATAGTTAGACTCATCTATGTAAAACTTATAAAGAACTAATATTTTTAAGAAGTACTTAAAAATATCAATGCCTCATCATAAACCTTTCATTCGTAAGTGTAATTTAAAATTATATTTAAGTTCATACGTACGTACACATAGTGTAATGCATGTTTATATGTACGTAAATTGTGTAAATTCAGAAATGTTCACAGAGTACGCAATATTGTTAGTACTTATAATTGAATTTTTCAAGTGGTCTAATGAAGTAATAATTTTTATTTCATTATTTTTATAGGAGTATTTTAATAAGAATTAAAAAAAAATTATATTTGCATTTTAAATAGAAATTAATATTAAATTAATGTGTGAATGCCTTTTGGATATGTAGGAGGTTGTAATCATTTCATTTCTAATTAAGATATCAAAAATTAAATTGGGCTCACAAAAATCTAGAAATTTTTAATATTTCATAATAAATTGAAAAGTTAAATTACTAAAACAAAAGATATATGTATAAAAAGAATTTAGAATGAAAAATGACTAATAGCAAAATTGGCTATTTTAACTTTATATCCAAAAGGCATTCTAAATATGAATGTATACATATGTACATATTTCTTTCAAATGGGAAGATACACAACTTCAGTTACGAATTTCCTCAAAATTTAATTTTTTTTTATTTTTTGTTATTCTTAGTTCGCTCCTGAGAGGAGCATAGGGTTGGTACACGATATTGTAGATAACCATGAATCAGTTTCGTACGTCATTGAGTTTAGTACGTAGGTGACGAGCCTACTGTAGTTTTAGATTAAATATTTTAAGGTTATTGATATTTACTATTTGATTTTGCTGGTATTTTTTGATTATTGGATATAATTGAAATATGCGGCAATTACCTAATATAAAGTTTTTATTTTTATATGTAATGAGTATAAAGCTATACATATATAATATTGAATATAATTTTTATAGTGGACTTTGAATCCGAGATCCTTTTGTTAAAGGACCAGTGCAATAACCATACTGCATCATTGGTCAGATCGCCATTGGCCTCAAAATTTTATTAGTGTACGTTTATCAAACTATACTGAGGAGCAAAACTTATATTGAATTGCGATTTCTAAAAAAGTATAAGTTTTTGCAGAAAAAAGATGCCTCTATTATCTAATTATCATTCTGAAATCCTGAGAACAACTTACTATTATTATCTAAATTATATCCCGTTGCAGTTCCATATTGATAAGCGGCATAATCCATATTTGGATTTGTTGCTATTGCCCCTGGAGGCGGAGAATTATTTTCGTGCTGCTGATGGTGTTGCTGCTGTTGTTGTTGCTGTTGTTGCTGTATAGCAGATGTATGCATTATATTTGAATATTGTGGTAATGTCCCATTGCTTGTCCAACTATCTACATAATTACCCGGTGGTGTATGATAGTCAAATGCATAAGGTTGATGTGTTGTAGTATAACAATCCTTTTTAAATTAAAATAATAATTTTTTAAATTTTATTAAATAAAATTTATACATTTATAATAGGAAATTTTTATACATACTGGTAATGCTGCACTATCATAGTGACTTGTTGTATAAAATGCTGTTGTTGCATATGTTTTCATTTGTTGTGTTTGATGTTTTCTTTTAAAACCTCTTGGACGGCGTCTTAAACTGCTGTCATCATCAAACATATATTCAAATTTAGGATCTATTGTCCAATAATGTCCTTTACCAGGTTTTCCAAAAGCAGGATTTTTTTGAATTTTCGTAAAACATTCATTTAAGCTTAAATTATGCCTTACAGAATTCTTCCAGCCATCATATTGACTATTGCAAAATCCGGGATATCTAGAAAAGAAATAAACAACAAACTTATTTTAGCTACCAATAATTCAAATATTCATTATAAATATTGATAATCAGCCCTATTATGAATTTCGTTCGTAGCTCTGAAATTACGAAAATTACGAATTACTAAAATTCTGCTCTGAATATTCGCAATGGAGTAATCACAAATTACGTTCATAGTAAAAATTACTCTCAAGTTTACGAATAGTCGTATTAAACTTTCAAATTTTGGATTTTTTTTGAGTTAATCTACCATAGCTACCATGAAAGGAAATGAATTCATATTGCCAAAATTTTTTTTTTTTTCAAAAATATTCAAAAACTTTTTAAAAATATTCTTTTGCATGAAAGTTATTCACTGAAAAAACAACCAAAAAATATAAATAAACATTTGATACAGTTGAAATAAAATACTGATTTGGACACTCTGAAAAATGACACTGTCATTGGTGATTCATAATCTCTACGAAAGAAATTTGTGATCATTCAAGTCTACAAGTGGAAATCATGATAGAATATGTAACGATCGATATATGCTGACTATTATCACAGATTAATAATATCGGCATCAAATCACGATTTAAATAGAAATAATTTTTCTTAGATTATATATTTCTCTATTTCTACTCTGGGGTTATACTCCAACTAGCATAACGTACTATGTAGTGCAAATTGCTATCATGAAGTTGACAATTTGTTTCTATAAAGTTTGATATAAAGCTTATGTAAATATATATGAGAAAAAATTTTAGTCACATAAAATAAAATATTTATTTTCTAATTTTTAAATTTCTTTAATATAAGTTTAGTATTTGGATTGCTTATAATTTTTAAACGATCTCGTCGCTATCAATAATTATCAACAGATTCTTTGATATTAATTTGCACATAAAACTCAAAATGTACAGAGAAATTTAAAATTTTTATTTGATTTTAAAGGTTGGATCAATGTTTCGGGTAATTCTCTACTAGATCTACCTAATCTTAAAACTTAAACTATGTTTACATAATCTTAATGTTTCTCTATTCAAAACAACAAGAATTTATCAGTTAGAATATTATATAGAAACGGTTCTTACAAGAGCAACAATTTTTGGATCGACTATCAAGTGCCAATAATAAACAGGTGATAATCTACAAAAATTTTAACGTTATAAGGTTTGAATGGTCCAATAGTTTAAATTTTTTCTTGAAAACAATTTAAAATAAACCAAATTCATAGCCACGAATTAAAATATAAAACATTGTGGTTGTAGACAGTCTCAATATCTATGCATATCTTGGAATAAATAAAATTCGACTCTTATCAAAACTAATCCGAACGGCAACGACACTCCACCTTTTCGGCCAGTTTGTTTCAATGGCACGGGGTGGGAAATGTATACGTGGCTTACGAATAACACGTCTTAAGTCATGTATACATTTTTATAATAAAATTATAAACACATCAACAGTCTAAAATCTTGATGTTTTATTGAAAAATTCATTATTTATGAAGGAATTCCTTAGCACTTACAGGCAGACATGAAAACATACTTTAAATAAACTTGCCCCAACTATATGTATCCTGCTGTAGCACATAGTATATCATGTGCTTTAGAATTGCGATAAATATTTTGATATATTTGCAAATTATTAAAAAAGCAATATCAGTTCAGCCCCTTTCTGCTGCTCACTAAGCTTGTGTACTTGGAAAATCATATACTGACGGCATAATTCAAATATTATTAAATATAAAAATTAACTTTTCAGCACGTTTTTTAAAAATCATAACTTGATAACCTAGCACAGTCACAAATTTTTGAGACTAAGGCTCCACCGAAAAATAGTATGTAAACATTTTTTAAAACTAGTCCCTTTTTCCGTTGTTACCCTCTTCGAATGAAATCCAAGCTACAAAATATAAAGTCTTTATAATATAAAATATAAAGCCTTTATAATATATTATTACCATAGCATAATATCTCATATATAACACACTCATACTACTATCCTTCAAAGCATTAATAATGAAAATTATATTACACCTAGTGACCCTAACTTGTTATTGCTAAGTAAAAATTTAACTACTCATTGAAATTATTCAAGTGTAAGAATTACTACCAGAAATTCTTATTAAAAAGTAAAATTAATTGAAAATTTTTTAAATCTTAAAATTTTCGAAATGGATAAAAACCAACTCACTTTCTCCTTAAGTAACTATAAATTTCACTTAATGTTAATCTTCCATCCGGTGATTCCTTAATAGCCATTGCAATCATATTAATATAACTTATAGCAGGTTTCTCAGGACGACGTTGTCCTGATGTATTCTTCTTTGTTGTATCTGGTGTTGTTGTACCATTTACAGATGATGATGAAGTTGTTGTACCAATTTGATTGTTATCATTATTCGTTTGTTCATGATGGTGATGTTGATGATTAGAATGATTACCATTAATAATTGATTTTGTATTTGGTGATGAATTATTTTCATAAGTAACTGAATTCATATCTAATTGACCAGTATTATTATTATTATTATTACTATTATTATTATTTGTTTGATCATCAATTAAATTTGTTGCTTTTATAATTCGAACTATTGTATGAACTTCAGATGATACCGGACTATTTGATGTATTATGTAAATTATTACAATTATTGTTACCACTATTACTAGTATTATCACTATTACTTGTATTTGTATTAATTAAATGATTTGACTCAATCATACTACTTGAACAATATTTAATTGTTGATGGATGATTATTAAAATGTGATAAATCATTTGAATTTAAATGATGTACATCATAATGTTGATCTTGTTGTTGCTGCTGTTGAGGTTGTTGATGTTGTTGGTGTTGTTGCTGTTGCCGTGGTGGTGAATATGATGCTGAATCATATTTCATAATTAATGGTGATGATGATGAAGATGTCATTTGCATTGTATTTGGCATCTGAGATATTGTTTGATTATATGTGGTATGTATATATAATTGACGATCAATAAAAGACTTATCATCAATATAAGGTGATGATGTATGATGTTGACTATTTGGTGAATCATTAATCCTTTGCTGATCACATATTATTTGTGAAGGTTGAATTATATTTGACGTTAATCCACGATATAAATTATGATGGGATGAGCTAGAATCAATATGCTCTTCCGTTTTAATCATTTTTGTTTTTTATTTTTTATTTTTTGCCAGTTGAAACTAAATTTCTTTTTGATATATAAATAAAAATTTTTTAAATTATAATTTAATTATTTTATTCTTTTTATATAAGTAAATTATAAACTAATGAAACGTTCTCCGACGCACTTTTAATTAAATCGAAGATTTTACACACGAATATAAATATTAAGTCAACCGTGACCAACACGTTCAACAAAAGTCTGAAGACTAATTCGATAACGCCTTAAGTAATTTACGTAAAACCAGAGCTAATCGAACGATAATTTTTTCATCATTTTCATTTTCGAATTTGTTATTTTGTTTTGATTATAATTGCCTCAAAAATATATAATTCTCATTTCACATTCACATATACGAACGCATATTATATTCACAATATGTATAAATGTAAGTATGTACATATATACCAAAAATATACTAATGTGTAATATAAAACTGTAAAATTTTTTGAATGTTTAAAATTTTTTTTTCTTTTTGGTTTTTTTCTTGTTTCTTCTTTTCTTTTTTCTTCTAATTAATTTGAATCTAAAAATAGCCATTTCATTGCCCATTAATGTTTCAGTATTGGTGGATTTTATGTATGCCTGGATTAAATCACTCACCATTTTGTTTACACTTTTATAATAAAAACGGTATCATCACTTTGTTCATATTCTGTTTTTGCTTCTCTTGCTCTTTTTTTTTTTTATTTCTTTTTCAAGTTTCTTTACATCATGCATAATTCGTAAGGCTCTGCATTTTTTATTTTTCTTGTTTTTGTTTTGTTGTTTTCATTTACCGTTTGCTTTATATTTTTGAAAGAACCCCCATTGTGATATTTAACGGTGATATTTGTATCTTTTTAATAGGCAGAAGCAGAAGCTATAAGGAAAAAAAATACATACTTTTATACATACATGAAGGTATGTACATATGTATGTTAAACTTTTAAATGAGGAAAAAAATTAGGTGCACATTCGTTTAGATTTTAATATTAAATTGTTAATTTTTATATTGGCTTACTTGATTCGATCACAATTTTTTTGATATTTTAATAATGTTTAAATTGAAATAAAATATAGTAGGTACGCATATTTTATATAAACACAAAGATAAAACTTGTTTAGTTCTAAAATTGTTTTACACGATTGTAGTGGACTTGGAAAATATGAGCCCTTTAGAACAGAAGTCGTATGACATATTGGTAGAATAAATTAGCGCAGAAATTAACATACCGTGATGACTTCTGTCTGACATTTTCTTAAACCTTTGTCGGGAATCAGGCTTTAGGAGAAGTGGTTTTCAAAAAAATTTTCTAAAAAAAATTATTGTATTGTGACGTTTTCAACTACCTGTTGTATGATCACTTTTTTTTTTATTTTGTATAGGACATCATATTATAGGGCCTTTTGGGCCTTTGCTCGTCAACCCAAAGCATCTATTGTGATTATCACAATGCCTACATTAGCATACTCTAGACTCCCGACAAATTGCTGGTCCTGATTCAGACGAACATATATTTTGCCAATTCTTTTCAAATGAATAATCGAAAGATAATTTCCACAAAACATCGGTAATCCCTATGCTTTGCCGACTAGCATGGCCGATTCCGGTAAGTATTGAAAGCAAAGGTAATTGTTCTAATAGTCGAATCTGACCTAATCGTCACAATCATTCAAAGTGCGCAGGACCTTCGCAGGCACCTCAAAGTACGGCTCCGACCCCATAAATGACCCTGCTGCCTCCCTACGTTATCAGACTGTATTTGATAACATATTTTTTGATACCTCAAAACTATCTTTGAAATATACGAGTAGTATCTGGCAAAACTGGCTCCCAAAAATTTGTTCGCGATCTGTTCAATGGTATGTATGTATATCGCATGATTATATTTTTCTTTACTACTTTCTTCTTGAAATTTTCTAGACTTGGAGCCTATCTTGGAACGGTTTTTTTTCTAGTATTGCTCACAACTTCACTATAGATCTTTAGAGACTGGTGTAATTAAGAATTTTATTTTGGATTTACACTATTTACCTTGATGAAAGTTTAGTGTCAATTCTGTGTGATAGAAAACATTTAAAACTTAGTCAGGATTTTCATTCTATTTTATACGTTTGAAGTTTTATATGTTTGACGTGTCATATAAAACTTCAAACGCCTGCATAAAATTATTACCTTCGTCTTTATACTCAAATCTTGCCCAAATTATATATTGCTTCTTTTTGTTACTGCTAAATAAAATCGTAAAAGATTATCATAAAATCTTATCGGAATTCTCAAAATTCTTTATATAAATATAAAGTAGACATGTACAAATTTGTACACATACATAAAATATTATATACATATGTATGTATGCATCTATATTTTGAAAATATATGAAAAATAAAATATTTTCATATACATTTAAAATAACGCTGACATCGCGAAATAATAATAAAAAAAAAAATTGAAAAAAAGCAAAAGTATAGAAAACGATTCTCTTTTCCAAGTTTCATATTTTTTATTTTAATTCTTAAAACGTGTACATTGGCACATCATTAGCATGCTGTGAGACTATTAAAGAAAATGGATTCTTTTCTGACTTTTCATTAAAAATATACAATATCATTTTCTGACTGGGTGGAGCTATTACTTGTTCGGAATATGTGTAAAAGAGTGTTCATATTAAATTATAAAAGGTACGAGTATAGTATAATTATGATACAATTGATTCTATATACAAATTAGGCTGAACGAAATTCATTAAGAACTTTAATTAACAATTAAATACCCTTAATTTTTCTGATAAAATAATTTTTAACATAGTCAACGTAGATAGAAAATTTTGATTTTTTCAAAATAAATTATTTTCATATATTAATATAATTTATACTTTTTATAAATAATTTATAAGTATTATGGGCAATTCCTGACAAAATAGTGTCTAAACTGCTACACCCTAATGAAGATAAGAACGAAGATTATTTAAGGAAGCTATTGAAAACTAGTGACTTCTAATTCGTACTGATTTTCGCAAAAAAAATTAAAAACTAGTCACAAGCGAAACATTAATATTTTGGATAGAAAAAAATTTGCTATCTTGAGTATAGCAATAAACAATAACATCTGAATGATAAAATTTGGAATTTTTACATTTCAATTTTACAAGATTATGAACATTTTTTGGAAGTGCTAATTAAAATTGATGGAACAGAATTTTACTTTTGGGTTTTCGTCAAAAATTATATATGTAGGTAATTAATCAATTAAATAAATTGAATCACTTATATTTTCATTAAAATTTCCAAGTATAGTTAAAAATTACGAATAAATTTAATTCATCTGCTTTTCTATATTTAAATTGTTCAGGCTCAAACTTTTTTAATTAAAATATTTCCAATAATAAACTTAATAAATTGTCAAAAGAGAAGTCATTTTGCATAACACGGCTAGAATACTATCCAATTTCAAATAAAGTACGTTTAATTTAGATTAATATCTCTTTCAGAGCTATATCCCCTAAATGTGCCAGCCAATTTTAAAATTCCAATGTTGTATTTCCGATTTCAAGCGTGTATTGAAGACACTACTTTATGAAAACTATATTTAAATTGGTTTTTGATGTTTTAGACAAACTGCTTACTTATATTCTTAGAATTATATCATAAACATACAATGATATTAAAGAAAGAACTTCAATTTTTGATAAAAGAACGCTTTGTGCATTTAATAATTAAGAGCTAGAATAGAGATACAATAGATATATAATTAAGAGATACAATAGAATTGAAAAAGTAATTCTCTTCAATTTTTGTTGAACTATATTCATGTAAGTAATTATAAGCATAATTATAAGCATAACATATTATATAATTTATATATGTATGTATGTATTTAAAATTACTTTTATAAAATGCAAATTTATTCAAATGAAATTTCACTATTTTACCTTATTTTCGTATAAATAATTTATAGGTGTATGTATATTTATTATGTGTGCAATTTATATAGGAATAACCTTGAAAAATTAAATTAATTAATAAACAAAATTTATTTCATTTTCATTTCTTAAAATGCTATTACATAATTTAAAGCAAATTGTAAGCCAATGAACTCTTTAATTAAACATAATTATTAATGTATTGTATAAAAATCTGGGTTTATCAAAACAAAACTTTCTATATATATGTATATATATATATATATATATATATATATATATATATATATATATACATATATTAAATGTAAGAGTTTCATCACAAAATTTTAGTAAACAGAACGCGTCCACAATTTTTTAAATAAAAATTGTTAATAAAGTTTTTAATCGCTAAATTTTAAAATGTAAATATAAAATGTTGATATAGACGTACACAAATGTACGTGTACACATAAAATATATACACACTTATAATTCTTTATCTTATTCAATTTATATTTGACTAGAAATCTTAAAATTCATAAACATCTTAAAATAATTATTGTAAATATTTATTCCAAATCAAAAATTACTACTACAAAATTATATTCATTCATCTTTTCTTGCTTTATTTCCTAGAAAAGGTTGAAAGATTGTTGATAAAATAATTATATATGCACATACATATATTAATGTTCATTTATATATATACATATATCATAATTTATAATAATTATATTATTATTATAAAGGCGCCAAAAGAAAAAGTACAGTCTTTCGATATTTGGACATTATATAATGAAAATAATATTCAAATTATATATATATATATATATATATATATATATACAAATATATATTACATAACATAAAAAATGAACTTATATTTATGCTGATGCTAACTGTTTTTAATAACTTACATGTATTTCATGTTATTACTCCTAAAGAAGAAATAGGTTAAAATTATCCTTCTTTGTAACTATTTCAATAATTATAAAAGTTCCTTTTAAGGATATAAAACAACACTCTATAGGTGTATAATATTTACTTTATCGGATGCAACAACATATACAAAGGAGTGTAGTATATAGTTATGTAA